ATTCAATTAAAGATCAAGAGTTAATGTAAATTAATGATAAAATAAAATGTTAAAAGTTAAATTAAATAAAATTGAAATTAAAAATTGAAAATAAATTAAAAGTTAAAATATATTAAAAATCAAAATTAAAAATTGAATTCAATTGAAAATTAAAATTAAATTAAAAATTAAATAAAATTAAAAATAAAAAATTAAATTAAAATGAAATTATAAAAGTTAAAAATTAAAAATTAAAATTAACAATAAAAATTAAAAATTAAAATTTAATAACAAATTAAATAATAAACAAATAATAATGTAGTAATTCTATTAATTTATAATTAATATTATATGCATAAATTATAATTGAAAGATAATTTTTAATTTGATTGGATCGATAGAATCGATGTTTCTCTCGCGGTAGCTCGAGACGAACTGAATGTTAAGCCGTAATATTCTTTCTCCGACATTAAGCGTACGCCACGCGCGAGGTCACGACAGATAAATTTAAATATATATTACAAAATCGATATCGATAAATGATTTTTCTATTATAATTTATCAATTATTTAATAATTTTTATATTTTTTATTATTAATATATATTATCAACAATTGATTACAATTATTAATGTTACTATTTACATATTTTTTTATAAAGAAAATTGCACTTATATTTCTATGGCATTTTTTAATTGTTTTCATAATATTTTTACATCATTTTTAAGATTGATTATCAATTGTAATAGTTTTATAAGTTGTAAATTCTAAGATTATTTAAATTTAACGTAAAAGAATTTATTATTTAATGCTTATTAGATAATAAATTGAATAAAATAACTATAAAAATAGTTTCATTTTCTTTTTCATATTATATTTTTTTAAATAATACATGAACGTAAAAATTACGTAAAAATGAATAGTGTATAATGATTAGTACAGTTTTTAAATTTCAATTTATAATATACTTTGTTTCTAGATTAAAATTTCCGTAATTTTTTTATATATAAATAAATAAATCATACTTTTCCATTTTTAAATCTTATATATATATATATATTTTTCAATATTTCAAAATTTAAAATTTTTAAAAAGCATTCAAAAATCAAATTCCGACCCATATCATGGAATTTATTTTTCCCTTGTACTACACTTCCTTTGTAAAATTTTCTTTTCTGCAGGTGCTGATAACGAAGCTCTGGTCCGCGACGAACGTGGAAACTCAGCAATACAGAAAAGCGAGCAAAGCATTGCTGGTTCTGATACCGCTCCTCGGAGTGACTTACGTCTTGGTGCTAACAGGACCCACCGAGGGTCAGGTTGCTAATGCATTCTCCTACGCTCGAGCTGTGTTACTTTCTTCCCAGGTAATGCGACCAGGAAAAAGTATATCTCGTTACAAAAACTTCGCCTCGCTTGGAGAGAAAAAATTCAGAAAGAAAGTGGTTCATCGCGAAATGTTACTTCCACTTTTGATCAAACGTGAATATAACTGTTTGAGAATTCTCTTTGATCGTTGTTTAATTCTCTTTATCTTCCGTTCTGTGAACGTTTAATGCGAGAAGATGATTTTAACACGATTTTTTTCACGTTTGTTCGATTATAAAAATTGAAGAAAAAAATTCAATTTATTGGATTTTTATTTTTTTATTCTTTGATTTTTGAAAAGTTAATTAAGGATTTTAGATTTTAGATATTAAATAAGATATCGATTTCGAGTTTTAATAAATAAAATTGAAAATTTGGATAATATTAAAAATGGTCGATTTTAATTTTTTCAAAATTTTTCCATTGTTTTTTTGTGAATTGCAACGGTTTAATACTTTTTTTCTTCTATACTGTATTTCTAATCTATACTAATTAATACAGATACAATGTTTCGTTTATTTATTATTTGTGCTTATTCATAATATGTATGATATTTACAATTTGTATTTAACATATTTGTACATTGTCATATCAGTGAAATCTTTTATTTTTTCAATATTTCTTTCTATCAATGAGAATTTATACGAACGTATCTTATATAATCGAGAATTGATTCTTTTTATTTTTTGCAATAAAGTCGTACAATTTGGGAAAAAAATTAATTTGTGTTGTTGTTGTTTAAATTTTGAAACTTATGAAATTTTAATTCCTGATTTTGAGGTCTTTCTTTTTCTCGTTAGTGCCAAGATTTTTTTCTGAAACAATAGAAAAAGATACATTGAAATTTTTATAAAGAAATATAATAACTGAGTTTATAATGGAAAATTAATAATAATTTCTTAAAAAATTAAAAAAAAAAAGAAAATTTAAGAAAAGATTCAAAAAAATATTACTAAGATGGAGGACTTTTCGACAATTCAAATGTTTAAAAATTGTTTATTTTAAAAGAATTTCTATTCTCTCCACAGAAACGAGTTCTTTTCAAATATTTTTTTATAAATTCTTTTGATATTTCATTTAAAATGGCGAATTTTGAAACCTCATAAATCTTAATATGTACTTATCTCTAAGAAAATCTGGCAAAGTTTTATATAAAATTCATATAATATATTTATATAATTTATATTTATATAATATATTTATATATTTATATAAAATTTATATATATATAATTTTATAGACATACCATCAATTACGTAATATCTCTTTTACAAAATTTTTTCTTTCATATTATCTGTTCCTTCGTATTAAAATCCAAACTTGTTCTTTGCGAACAAAGAAAAATTTTGTATATATCAATTTCATTGTTAAAAAAAAAAAATTTATAATAATTCGAAAATAATTCTACAAATAAGAAAAAAATTTTTAACAATTAATATTCTCGACTTAATTTCAAATTTTATTAATTAATCTTAATTATTCGAAACTTTAAAATTCTCTGTTCAACTTTTCATTCTCAATCTGTAATAGAATGCTATTATTAATAGATAATAAATCGATTAAACACAAAGTCCACGACAGAGTAAAAAAAATCAAAACTTCAAAAATTAACTTTCCTTCAAAAATAATAAAAATGCTAGGAGTACCAATATCACATCTGAAATACAAATATTTAACATTTTCAGGGACTATTCGTCGCATTGTTTTACTGTTTCCTGAATACCGAGGTACGAAACACGGTGAAAAGCCACATCGAACGTTGGACCACAGCCCGCGATCTGGACACAGAAAGAAGGTATTATAACAATTGGTCTCCCCGTTCAAGAACAGAGAGTATAAGGTATTCTATTCCCTTAATCCGTCTAATAAATCACTTAACTCTCATTTAACCTCTTTTGACGTCGTTCAATTTTCGTTCAAGGAATATTTTCATTGGGTCACGAATAATACATTTGAAAGTAAAACTTTCGAGAATTTCTCTCGAGGGTTTATTTTTCGCTGATGGACTCTGCATCGAGCATAAAAATTATATAATAATATTTCGTAATCGTCCACTTGCGAAAAACAACTTTGGAGGATTAATAATTATAATATATTCGAGAATAAAATTCTCGAGAATTATCATTCGCTAGTGGATACCGCGTTGAAACTTCTAATTTCTGAACAATGCAATGCAATGCCCATTTGTAAGAAATAACTCTCGAGAGAAACTCTTCAAAGTTTTATTCTCAAATGTATTCATACCTTTCGTTCGAAGAAAATAAAAAAAAAAAAAAAACTCGCTACGAACAATTTGCGATTATGCGATTTTCGCGAGTTGAATCGTTTAAAATATCAATTTGTATAGATAGAATATAATGATGAAAAGTTAAAACGCTTAAATGGGGACGATTTAATGTACTTAGACGTTTTTGGATTTCGTTAACGATTTAATTTACAGATTATACTGTCCACCATCGAATCCATACAGAAAAAGGGATTCATCTGTAAGCGAGACGACGACCACAACCGTTGTTGGATTAAACTCGACGACCACATTTCTAGATAAATCGAAGAAGGCGATCTCGGAGGATATGAACGAATAAGAATGATTTTGATTAAAGGAATTTCGTTGAAGAATCGATTAATCGTTGAAAAATATTTCAAGCTGCATGCACTTGAAAAAGAGACACTCGAAAACTGAATCAACATCTAAAAGAATAACTCTATTTTATTTCTTTATATTTCGTATAAATCGTTGACTCTTTTTTTAATCTGATATTTGGAGAGTGAAATGCCTATCTGATGAGATGGGAAATCGTTGTTTATTATTTAAAAAAATATGTTTGCGAATTTTTCATAGTTATAGGGAGGAATATGGATTAGAAAGTGAATTAATTATTGTGAATGTTATAAACGATGAAAGCAAGAGGGAATGATAACTGAAGGAGAAAAAGATTGAAGATATATATCTTGTTAAAGAATTGTTTATGAAAGAATCGAAAAAAAAAATGTGAAAATATTTATTTATTAATTTACTATAGCTTATGCTATATGTACGTGCCTGCTTTTTGATATTTTCATTTTCTCTCATTTTCAGTTAGAACTAATTTTTACTAGATTCTTGAATCATTTTTCTTTTTTGCCTTGTTTTACATATAATCACATTTAATTTACAAATATTTTATGATACAAATTGATTGTGAATTGACGAGTACATTTTATATATATATATATAAATATTTGTTTATACATATATATATATATATATATATTTGTTTTCTTCATTTTCGCAATAAATTTAATAAAACAATATTGATTTAATTTCATTCATATATAAAAATATCCGAAAACAAATGAAATAAAACGATACTTCAAATGAAGTGATCAATTCTTTCAATCTTTTCGTTGATTTTAGTTTTACAATCAATCCTTTCTTTCATAATATATTTACATATACATATATATTTATAAGATTACCAATAATTAATTAACTTTACAATCTGTATCTCCCTAAAAAATACTTGTATCAAAACATTTAATATAAAATATAAAATTTCTTTTTTTTTGCGAGATAACAAATCATTTAAAAAATATTTAATCCCTTTGATTTCTGTTAAAATACAAATGAAGAAAAATGCTTAATAAATCTTTGAAATAAAAATATTAAATTTATCTCTCATTCTTTAAAAATTGAATTAAAAATTGAATTAAAATTGAATTAAAAATTTAATAAAAACAGAAAAATAAACAGACGAAAATAAATGTATTTTTCAAATTTTTAGCGATGCAAGGGGTGAATCTGTATTAAAAAAAATGAATCAAAAATGTAGAGCAACGTCTGTTTTGAATAAATTACTATATATAGATACTTTTCGATAAAATAACAAAGTAAAAATTAAAAGAAATCAAAAATTAATTTGCAAGATATTATATATATATTTATAATTCTTGCACAATTAGTATAAATTTTATCTGGATTATTTTAAAATAAATATCATGATTATAATTAGAATAAATATTAATAATAAATTTAATTAATTTAACAGATTAAGTAAATAAAAATTTTGTGCGTTGAAAATATGTTAATTTAAATTTTTAGATTTTATCAGATATGTTAACTATACAAATTAACAATTCTAAACTTCTTCCGATCAGTAGTGTGGATGGATTCACCCCTTGAGCTGTATCACCAGTTTTACATATATATATATGTATCAATTCGTAAGGAATGGTTGGAGAAATTAAAAAAGATCCTAAGATATGCGGCAATGAGTTAACATTTTTATTTCGAATTACCATTTGCGTTAGGAAAAAGATACCTTCTCATTCTTTCCCATTCACACATCCATTCGTGCTCATTACTTTCGCCTCTCTTCACACTCGCTTCCCTTTATATCTTTCCTTTTTCCTTCTTTTTTTTTTCTTTCCCTTTCTTTAATTTCTTTATTTCATTTTAACGTAATGCTCAGGCTCAAGAAAAACGCGAACGCGTTCGTATTCGGAGGAAAATCAATTTCGCTGTTTTAAATTCTACGACACCCATCACCAAATTTCCACGGGAGGACTCCTGTAAAAAAGAAAAGTTTGTGAGAATTTTTTTTTTTTTTTTTTATCCATTT